GAGGGGCGCTAAGATGGTGATATTTGCTAATGTAATCGCACTTATTTAAAATAGTTCCATTGCTCCAATTTTGATCAAATTTCGGATTTCGGTTCCATGTTTAATTTAGATTACGAATATGCCTTTACCTCAATACCCTTAAAGAACCCAATTGGAAACAGTAGCTAGGGCTTTTTCTCTATGATGCACGGTATATGCATTTGGGTTAACATCCGACGTCCCTCCTTCTTTACATATTCTGCACAACAAATGCTTTCTAAGCCCCGCCCCTGACAGGATTTCCCACCGTTTTTTTTTATGAATGGGGTGGGGCAGAAAGTATCTTTTGTGCAGAATATATAAAATAGGATGCACTTTGGAATTGCAGGAATTGCATATATAGAGGTACCAGATATGTTTTACAGTCAGTTGGTGGTAAATCACCCACAGAATAACATCAAAATTTTGTGAGCGATTTTTTTCAGAGGCAGTAGTTGCGTAACAAAATTAACGGAATTTAACTTATTTTTACTACATTGTAGTTTGCTTAACAATTATTTCCCGTCCATGTTTTTTTTCAGGTTGTCGTTATAGGGGAGAAGGGGGAAGGGGTGTTTTGCATAAATAACTTTTCCACGTTTCGTATTAGGGGCTGTTCATTAACTACGTAGACATTTTTTTGTGATTCTTGCCGCCTTCCTTCCCTCCCTCCTTTCGTAGTTAATGAACAGCCCCTTAGTTGAACGGGACCCAAGTCACCTTTCACGACTGACTTGCTCCTGCTTACTGCAGGACCAAGCGCCACGCCGTCCGAAGCGGTAATGAGCAGAAGCGCGACAGCAGTGCTGTTTCATATCTTTTCAGTACGATGTGCAACCAAGTGGTACTCGATTATGATGACTGGGTTTGGGAAAAACGCTTATTTCATGACAACATTGATAAAATTATCATTTGTACATTTTTCAAAAGTTTTATTACAGAAAAATTAGAAACATATTTATTTCAGCAGGTTCGTAATTTAAAATCCTACCGATTGGCGTATTTGGATTTTAATTTTTATCTATAAATGACAAAGTTACAAGCGTTCAAAACCTAACACTACTTCACCACACATATTTTTGGATTTGCACCCCAGTATAGTCGACAAAGACGTAGTTCTACGTCAAAAAAATGTGTTGGTGGCACTATAGTTGAGACTACCTTTATGAAGAAGAGAGGAAATAATCCGAAATTTGTAAAACAAGTTACTTGTAAGCTTGCAGCTCTTTCGTACAAATTACATTCTAAACTGAAGCGGCGCCTGTGGTGTAGTGGTAAGCGTGATTGCTTCTCACCTGAGAAGGCCTGGGTTCAATCCCAGTCGGCGCCGTCGGGATTTTCTGAGGCATAAAATCTCTGATCCCGCCTGCCTTCGGAAGGGAAGTAAAGTCGTTGATCCCCGGAATTCAACGAAGTATATTAACCATGATTTAGGCCCTATAACACCTGGTAGATTACATTTTCGTGGTGCGTTACTGGCATTGAGATCTAAAATCGAACTCTAGTCCGAACTTCTTCAAACTAGGGGAACAGGATTGTTTTTGTCATGAACAGAACATATCATTTTTTTTTAATGTTTATGCCTTTACAGAAAAAAAAAATCTGAATTTTACTGGTGATGTAAACATCTATGCATGTAAACTTTCTTTTCACGAAAAATAGAAACTAGCAAGAAATGTTGCATACAAAGATGGAGGTTGAATACAATATATGGAATATTTCATGACATGTCGCATAAATTTACACGACCTATAATGTAAACTTGTATGATCACATATGCGGCTCCATTTATGTGCATCATAGTAACAGAAATGTACACCACTTTTTTGAACTGCGTTGTTGATAGCGACACGACTCGGCTTTGTTCACCGAGGATGATCGTAGAACAATGAAAAAATGGGTTAGGTATTTCATATTTTCATCTACTTGATTCCTAATTCGTTGCTCTCTACACGGATAGAAATATCCTTATACCTTTTGGCAAATTTCTATTGCTGATTATTCATAAAATGTATAAGTCAACTAATACGCAGACGCCTTGCAAAAAGTTAATGAAGATCATGTGTCAAATGAAATGTATAAGCGGTCACACATACCTTTTATGCATTCTTATAGGACCTATGTGGTTTGTCTTATGGAATGTATAAGGCTGATGCTTTGGCAAAAATGTATAAGTGAAACACATGAATAAAATAATTGATTTTCGTTTCGTTTATCTCTCTAGATTGAAGTAGTAAAGACTGGACAGTTCGAAAAAGTAGTGTAAATTTATGTTCAATATGATGCACAATGGAGCGTCACATATAATATAAGTTCTGAGTTCATTATTTATTAAAAAGCTGCAAATATTGTACACAAAAACCCATTTTTGTAAACAACATTGCTTACAAGTTGCTACTTTGCATGAAATGAAATACAAGTCTTCGTGAATGAATGTTTACATCGCAATTAAAATTCAGAATTTTTTGCGGTGTAGAAGGATTCTGATGCTAGGTCATTATCGGTGCTATCAAAGATGATGCTATTGCCTGATTTTATGAGATGAATGTTGCTAAAATGTAATGTATTAGAATGTGACTTCTCCCACGAAATTCTACCTACACTATAGCTAACATTTTTTGACATGCTCTTAAAATTTCAACCGATTTCTAGATAAATATTTCATAGGTCCTATCTGCATTGATCGATTCTCTTCATCAAGTTTCTCTTTCGTTAACAACTCAGTTGTAAAACCGCTCCCGGTTGTATTTGACGTTTTGGGCCCTAGATAAGAACCTTCTCTACCAAACCATGTGGTAAAAATAGCGCGAAATCGGTGTGCATAGCAGGGTTATCAAATGAGAAAATCGATGAAGAAAATCGATCATAGCAGATAGTACCTTTTGAAATGTTTATCTAGATTTGGTTGATAAATAAAAAAATAATTCATTTTATTTAACATAGCTAAACTTAGCAATTTAGCAATACTAGATAAACATTTCAAAAGGTCCTATCTGCATTGATCGATTCTCTTCATCGACTTTCTCTTTCGTCAATAACTCAGCTGCAAAACCTTTCCCTGTTGTATTTGGCGTTTTGGACGCAAGATAACAACCGCCTTTATCAAACTATGTGGTAGAAATAGCGCGAAATCTGTTTGCATAGCAGTGGTTATGAAAAGAGGAAGTCAATGAAGATAATCGATCAAAGCAGATAGAACAATTTGAAATGTTCATCGAGAATAGTAATGTGTCTCCAGATTTGTCACGAATGTCACTAATATTTTTAAAATGGATCGTAAAGTTGTGCAGAGATATTTGTTTCGATAAGGCTTCTGAAATTGACAGTGATTGTTTTGACCTTGATCCATTCAGCAGATTCACAAAAGAATATAGTATGTAAAATTGATTTTTTTTAACTTCTAGGATGATCAATATAGTCAACTTTCCGATATGAAAGGGGATGTTCATAAACTACGTAGACAGTTTAGCGGAGCGGTGGTTGTCAATTATCCACGGCCCATACAAATTTAAAAAAAATGTGTATGGACAATTGTCTACGCAGGGGGAAGGGGTCAAGAATCCCAAAAACCTGTCTACGTAGTTAATGAACAGCGCCAACGTGAAAAATATCGTAAATAAATAATTATATGATTCTGTCAGCCCCTCCGCGCATCAGACTTTTATTTTTCAATAATTCCACACAGCGGCACCGGTGGTGTATAACATCTCTGATCACACCTTGCGTTGGTCCCCGGTTCATGAGTTGATGGCGTCGGTAGCATTGGTGCTCAGCACGGAAAACAAGATCGACGTAAAACAAATCAAGGAAAAAAAAACAAATTCCACATAACCTGGAAGCAGCCGGCGCCGGTGGTGTAGTGGTAAGCGTGACTGCTTTCTAACACCCCAATGGGTCTGGGTTCAATCCCAGCCGAGGTCGGTGGGATTTTTCTGAGGCATAAAAATCTCTGGTCACGTCTTCCTTCGGAAGGGAAGTAAAGCCGTTGGTCCCGGCCCATGTGTGTTGAATGGGTGCGAGGTGTGGAAGCTGCCTTCCTGCACATTCGATTGTCATCAATGGATGGCAATCGATGTCCGTTGGTGATTGGCACTAGATTGCGGAACAGAGACCGACGTTAAATAAAGGAAAGAAAAGAATAACCTGGAAGTACGGTTACGGTACGCCTATCTCATAAGGTATATTTTGGCGAAATAAGACCCCTGAAAAAGCGCGTGGGTCTCGAAACACTAGAAAAAAATTTCAAAAAGGGGACCGACAAAATCGGTATATCTATGGTTACCTAAATCAAATTAATTTCAGGCCTATTAAAAGCTTCATCACTTGGCTTACCAAGGTTGACTACCCAACTTTAGGCAACAAAATGCATTCCATTTCTTTGAGAATAAAAAATAAAATAACAGGTTCACAACCTAGACATGGAGTTCCTGGAGGGTGACTAAAATGTTTCTGCTTTCGATTATAGAACAACTCACCGAAATCATGAAGGGTCGTAATACAAAAATGGCTCCTATCCACACCCACATTTCCGTTTTATTACCGGGCACTTTCGGTGCCAGAACCGCACAATCACTGGCACGAAGCCAAAAAGGTTGCCCCGTAAATTATCATCTATCCACCAAAATGAAAAAAAAAATGAAATGAAATCCTGCTCACGCCGCGGTTGTTAAGGAAACCTTCATTAATGCTTTATCCACGTGGTGTGGTGTGGTTCGCTTCCTTCCTTCCGTCCGAGTCAACCCGGAGGAGTGGAAACGTAGCCCGGATTCTGCTATTAACAACTTTTTGCATTCGCAAGTATCCCACCGCTGATCTCAGCCGTTTATGTGTAATGCAAACCAGCTTTTGTGTACATCGTAGGTAGTTATGTTATGACGGGAAAGCAATTCTGGTTTCGTTCCGTGGTGGTGCTTCACCATAGTCGACACAAAATGAGATAATGTAGATAAATTATGTATTCATACGTATCACAGCAAAATTACCTTTTTATCTTTGTTATTATCGTCGGAATCTTCATCGTCGTCCTTCTTGGCCCGCTGCTGGTTGCGACTTGCGTTACGATTGCGCTGCCTTCTGGTTAATCCCTGTCGGCAACGAGTGCCACATGCTACTGCTGATAATTTGCTTGCATAGTAGTACATAGCCATACGTCAAGACGGTGGTAGAATACATTTATAAGCGTACACTTTGGAACTATAAGGCATCAGCACTCACAATGCCACGACGGATGTTGTTCGGCGCAATGTTGGTCCCCCGATGGCATCCCTGGCGTATCCTAGAGACCATGGGAAGAATCGGAGATACCTACTTATACGGTATGTGTCACGGAACGTGTCAAGAGAAAGCACTCTGGGTGGGGCGGGTTTATGTTCTCGGTGCGCTCGCTGGCTGGCTGTACGGCTGAGAATGAAGAAAGAATATTTTATTATTCCACTACTCACATTTTCATAATTACAATTCTGCATAAATGACAAGTTGAAATTGTGTTCCACGTTTTTTTTCTCATGCTCGTATCCGCACGAGGTGGTAGATACATTCATGCGGGATACATATGCTGTAATAATACGTTCATAGCGGCGGAACCATTTTATTTTCACTGGTTATTTCAATTTTCCCACTGCCACACTGTTGGCAGTTGTTACTTGTACTTCAGCTCTTCTTGTGGTACTTGTGTGAACATGGCATGCCTGCACCATTCCATGTCGATAATGGCACCCTTTATGGGTTTTCATGACTTCCACGTGGAATTGATGGTGTTACCTCTTGAATATTCCATTCCAGGATGGCACCATTTGCAACAATAATTTTATGAGTAACACTCGGTGAGTGATATTCCAATAATGCTATGGAAATGTATTTTTAATCAAATTTTGCAGGTGGTATCATTTGAATGCTCCACGATTCGACATTGCCGCAGAATAACTTATTTATTTTTTAATCCTCACTTAAGATCAAAATGGTCCTTCTACAAATGCCAAATTTAGTCATGTTGTCGTGATAATGTTTTGCATACAGTAGCAAAACATACAATGTTTTAAGCAAAACAAAACCAATGATCGAGTAACACATTTCAACAACCAGTAGTGGTCCAGGATTGAAAATTGGGAGGAAATAGATATTTTGACAAAGAAATTGCTACATAGTGTCTTCTGTTTAATTATAAATAAGGCCTTTATCTTGATGAAAAATGTAAATATGGTGGTCCTTAAAATTATACAAATAAAAAAAATTACTTTTTCATTTCTGATTAGATCATGATGGAACCTTCTACAAAGTAATAGATTACGTAATTTAAAGAAGCTTTACTGCATAAAATACATTGGTAAAGCTTATGTGAAAGTGAAAGTTATCTTCTGTAAGTTTTTCTACTAATTGCATTGCACAATGTTTTGTTTAAGGAAGTGCCTCGATTAATCCTTTAATACATAAACAAGTTACGACCAATTTATAGCAAAACTTATATCATTTTCAATTGTTGATATCTTCAGTTCAGGAAAAAATGGGGATACACTTCTTGCAGCAATCTGAAGGTGAAGTTTCAATGAATGTTTTGGTGGCGAAATAAAAACATAATAGCGTGCGTAAGTGCGATGTAGTTTTCATTTTCATTTTCATTTTGCAGCGTTTGGTGGGGTAATGGGAGCGCAAGTCAATCCAAAGCCGAGGATAAAGGAAGGGTAATGGCTGAATAGTCTATGCGGACCACTTGAACGCCATGGGAAAAGGAAGGGATTGAAGAGGTCGGTTATTGAAGAAACCGAAAATCCATCTCCCACTGATTCATCCTTTCACATACATACCAAATTGATATTTAAAAGCAACCATCAAAATAAACAGACAATATATGAAAAGGCTAGTTGCCTCCCTAAGCGGACTCCCCGCATCCTAACTCTTTTGTTAATCTACTTAATGTTATTAGGCTGTCTAAATTTTCTTATTTAAGTTCGTTTGATGATTATGATATCTCATTAGTCTAATTTAATAAATAATTGAAATCTCTTATTTACCTAATCAATCATAACTCATGCTTTATTAAGTCCCTAAACTGCTATGTAATCTAAAATTTAACGTGTTTCAAGTAATTTTGACTTTGATCTATATTTATTATATCTTAGATCGACCCAGGTGACACCTTCAAGTGACTACAATGTTTCACTTTGAAATTAGTTTCCTAGCTGATTTTTAAATTATATAAGGTATATGCTCCAACTACACTCACACGTTTCCACTATGTCGTCCCACAAAATTACGTATGGATATGTCACAATAGAAGCACGCCACAGTGGAAATCCCGAGCCATACTTCAAACACTTATCCCAAACCAAAATGAAGCATATATAAGATTAGTTACAATACCATGGTGGTGTTTAATATTGTTCGCTGAGTAATGCTTCAATGAAAACAACAATGAAAGCTTGTCACGCAAATAAAAGGAGTACCGTTGGGCACTTTCTGAAATATTTCAATAGTATAATTCCCTTGCAAACCCAAATAAATCTATCTGCGTAAAAATAAATAAAATAAGAGTGATTTGCGGCAAAACCTACTAGAACGCGGCTTTCAAATAAAGGAGTAACAAGTGTGATACTATCACTTCAGGCTAGATCTTTGGTTCTCTTATGCAATGGTTCATCAGAGAGGGGAAGCTCAGTAATCCTCAACGCATGCTCATGACGCTATTCTGTCACGGCATGAGCCAACGATGCCGGACCTAAACCAACCGTCTCCAACGCTCCACTATGAAGCATAAGATTAGGCCCGCCCACCAACGTCCAGGTTAAAAACCAGCCAAGAGGAGGGACGTGCGTAAGTGCGATGTAATTCCAGTCACATTAATATAAATAAATATAGGTTTTTCTAACAAAAATCGGTTATAGCTTTCGAACAAAAAGAGTTTGCAAATTGGTTACATCAGGAAAAACATGTGTAATTTGAACTTCTGAAGGGGTCTATTATACATCATTTACAAGTAGCCAATTCAGAATAATTTAACATAATAAACCCAATTTTAACGATCAACCTAACTTACTTCAAAGTTAAGAGGAAATGCTGTACTAATATCAACATAAAGCTTTAGTGCTATAATTTATTAGCTAGAGAATGTTATGAAGTGTTGTAGATTGTAGATTGATAGTTCCGTTAGAGTACAGCAGTGTGAACTTCAAACAGAAGTTGAGCAGTTCTTTGAAGTATAATTTATATTTCTTCGTTTTTTTTTGATCAACATATATACCGAAAGGGCATTAGAACATTGCCCTGACTGCCATTACTCTGAATTACATTATGGTGAATGGCCCATTGCTCCGAATAGCCTACTACTTCTATAGTCATTACCTCAAAAGACCCATTATTCCGAATCACAAAACCCCGATTCAAAAATTCCCGAATAGTTGATCCCTCGAATTACATTAATATGAAAACAGATCTTTTTTGTAATCAAAAACTTATTCGCAATTTGTGCAATCCAACAAAAATACTCAAAAGTCAGATGGTGGGAAGACGACCAACGAGCAAGTTTCGATAACATGGAAAAGCTGGTGGGCTACGGATCATTCGGATAAGACTGACCCTTTTATATTTAAACATAAACTTTACCATATAGGGTAGGTGTACCAAATAAAATTGTACCATTTATGGCACTATTTCATGTACGCAATACTACCAGTTGTACCTCTACTCCACATTACTACCATATGCCATTACTGGTTCAGGCCATAATTGGGACCTTTTTTATGTAGTGCCATAACTGATTCATCTTTCATACTCTATATTGCCAATTAGAGTTTACGAATCTTACACCATTTCCAGGTGATATAAATTTCCCCATTCCGTGACATCGATGAAGGTAGTATGGGTTCCCTGCACCTTCTTAAGAATCACACTTCAAAAATTTAATGTAAATTTAAATCGTTTTAGATGTACTCAAAAGAAGCGGCCTAATTGACCTAAATTTACTCGAATCAAAAACTTAAGACATATTTTTACATGTCTTGACGTAAATTTCAGTCACTGTACTGATCGAACCCTTACTCACAATACGCCTGAACGACAGGTGACGCAGCTAACCACATGACCAAGAAGCCCACAATGTTCCATTACTGTTTATATAACCTTTGTATGACTGGTTTTGGTTATATGGCAGTTAATTCAACTTAATGCTATGAACTTGTATTACTTGGATTTTTACTATTCAACTAAAATACTCAAACATAATTTCTCTCTCTCTCTCTTGGAGAAGACTTCCTTAAATCATGAGTAAATCTTTAGCAGGTAATAGCTATACACTTATTATTAATTATTCAGTTTACCCTCAGCTGTTGTCGAACCCGACAGCAACATTTGAAATTATCGGTGTCGATTAAACTTTCAATACTTTGGATAATCGAGACAAGCTGTTACTTTGGTGTGCTTTGCTACGCTACAGCTCCTTCGGTGTTTTTTTTTTCGTAGATGTGATGTGTGTTAATATGAAGAATACGCTCTGCTTTGATTTCATCATCATCATCAACTATTAACTCCTAACCTACACATATAGGGCTTAGATCTAATTTTAGGCCTATTAAGCACAACCTGCCCTTTGCCTCTATTTTTCGAGCAGATTTTTTTTTCACAAAATGGAGTGTTTTGCCTTTCCGTACGAACTATAATATTTGATAAAGAAAAACAAATTGTTGAAATATTTTTAAAAACAATAACATTGCTTCTGGACCCCAAACTCGGCCTACGGATTCTAAATTAGGCCTAATGCATCGAAAAACCATTCAAACGCAATTGAATACACTTCGGCCTATCGGATAAAGATAAAAATTGATTCAGTCGGAACGCTTCTTTTGTAAAAAAAAAAAAAGATGTAAATATTCATTTCACGCGTTCTTATTGACTTCGTTCGGTAGTTTTTGAGCTAAAGTATTGTACCAGACGAGTAATTGTCTTGTTAACTCTGAAGCAATGGATTTATTTGATGTTTTCTGCTTGATAGGCACAACATGGACCATTAGGCAGAAGTAGTGCTCTATCCTATCGAATAAATACCAGACCTTCAATAAAGTGATAATTAAGGTTCTAATATCATGTTTGATATGTTAGAAAAACATCGCCATTAGTCCATTACATTGTAATTTTTTTTATCAGCTATTTTTTAGATTTAATAAATGTAGCCAACAAAATTCATACCATTGTAATTGTTATTGCCAAAAATAAATTATTATAGGGTGGGTGTACCAGTTATGCTATACGTTCCTATTATGGTGTGTTACAATTATGTCCTATGGGATTTCCATATGCCATAAATGGAACACACCATAATAGCAACGTAACTGGTACATTAGACTGATGCAAAATTTGAAATTTTCGCTCCACAGTGTTCAAACGGTTTCAAATCGG